GTTCTTTAATCGGAAAGGGGGAAAAATCGGGAAAAAAATCTGGAAATTTTGTATTTGGCTTTATTCTGTGTTGTGTGAAACAGTGTTCGTTAATTTTTGGATCCCATGGCCCTAACTAAAGTGAATTCGAAATGGGTATTTAGTGGGATTGAAACGGGTAGTAATAAGTGTTTCTTTAAGGTTGTGCGAGATAGAAGTAAAGATGTTTTATTAAGTTACTTATTTTACCTGGTACCTTGCTGTGAACTATAAGTATGATTTTAAAGATCCTGAAACAGGCACACATACGCTTGCTTTTTATTTAGCGGATAAATAAGAAAAGTTTATCGGACAGTAATCAAGATTCTGAAGAAGATTAGGTAAGTTAGTATTTTTAATTATTTGAGGATATTATTTTTATGCATTGTTCTAAATGTAAGGTGGAAGTAAAGTAATTTGGCATTATTGGGAAAATTGTTATTAGCAATGATTTAGTTTAAAGTAATTAGGATTGTAAGCTAATTTTTATTAATTTAATGTATGTGCTTATTTATATTTTTAGTAGTGTTTTTGAATTTAATTATATTTTAATTAAATGATAGTTATTTTGTGAATTTTATGTTTGTAGGAATTTGGTATACGTTTAGTTGAAGTAAACGTGCATGGAAATAATTTAAATATTTGACACTAAGTATTTGTAATATTGCGGTATGAATTCGTTGGTGACGTGTATAATATAATAGATGATTTAGAGGTAAAAGTTTTTGGATATTTTATTTATTTTATACGTGGAAATGTTCATATTTGGAAAGGGTATATACTTTTTCGCGATCAGGTAATTTCATATATGTTCTTTTTACCGGGTTTAAAGATTGAGAAAATTGTCATGTATTTTCGTGAAATTTTTCTAATTTATGAGAAAAAAGCAGTGTACATGGATATAGTGAAGAGTGTGCGCAATGCCATTTTTGTGCAATTCTGGGATGTTTTTTTAAGTAAAAATAAGTCGACGTGTACATGGTTTAGTGATATTTTAATTAAATGATAGTTATTTTGTGAATTTTATGTTTGTAGGAATTTGGTATACATTTAAGTTGAAGTAAACGTGCATAGAAATAATTTAAATATTTGACACTAAGTATTTGTAATGCTTGCGGTATGAATTCGGTATACATTTTAATTGAAGTAAACATGCATGGAAATAATCTAAATATTTGACACTAAGTATTTGTAACGCTTTCGGTATGAATTTGTTGGTGACGTTTATAATATAATAGATGTTTTAGAGGTAAAAGTTTTTGGATATTTTATTTATTTTATATGTGGAAATGTTCATATTTGGAAAGGGTATAATACTTTTTCGCGATCAGGTAATTTCATATATGTTCTTTTTACCGGGTTTAAAGATTGAGAAAATTGTCATGTATTTTCGTGTGAAATTTTTTCTAATTTATGAGAAAAAAAGCAGTGTACATGGATATAGTGAAGAGTGTGCGCAATGCCATTTTTGTGCAATTCTGGGATGTTTTTTTAAGTAGTAAAAATAAGTCGGCGTGTACATGGTTTATGTGTATGTGTTATTTTGAAAAACGCGTAAGGAGTATGGTATTGTGCACTTTTTCCCAATTTTGCAGTGAATATTTGTCATGATTAAGCAGTTTTGTTAGATAAAATTTCTAGCATAAGTGTAATTCGGCTAGTAGATTGTTGGAAGAAGTGTTCAGTAGATAAAAAGAAAAGAAACATGTCTTTACTTCGTGAAGACAAAATGGCGGCGGGAAAAAAAAAAATAGAGGGTTGCTGTAGGAGAGTTGGTCGCCAAAAAATCACCAAGTTACCATAATCTAAAGATCAACCAATATATGTTTAAAACTGTGTCAACTTTTATCTTTTTCTTCTGTTTTACGTTTTGTGTAAATTTTATAGTAGAAAATAGGAAGGAACCACCCTGGGTATGACACACTTATCGCGTGCAATGCCGTTCGTTTTTCTCGCGCGTGTAATGCCAGGTTAAGTGAAAATAGGTCGACATGTACATGGATGATACCGTGTATGTGCAATTCGTAAAAATGCGGCAAGCAGTGAGCGATTCTGCACTTGTCCCAATTTCGCACCTAATCTTTGTCATGATTAACACTTTTGTTCCATAAACGTTCTAGCATAATTGTAAATCGGATAGCAGATTGTTGGAAAAAAATGTTGGAAATGTTGAGTAAAAAAAGAAACAAAAAATGCCTTGAAATGCCTGCCGTGAAAACCAAAATGGCGTCCAAACAAAAACTAGCAGGTTGCTGGAGCAGGGTTGGTCGCCAAATTTTCGCCAAAAAATCACCCGGTTACCATAATCCAAAGATCAACCGAATATTGTGTATCTATCCCTAATCTAATGGATCTTCAGTTTCTTGCATGTTACATCATGAGCATTCTATTCCACTTGCAAACCCTCCCCTTTGAAAAAAAAAATATATATATATATATAGTCAAAAGTTGTTAATCCGGACTCGTCGGGACTTCGGCGATATCGGATTATAGATCATCAGTTTAAATCTGGTAAGATGGCATGCAGAAATTATAAATACGAAACCGTAATTTATGAAATAAAGAACAATTATGATCTAAAGGGTATCAAAATTTACAAAAAAAAAAAAAAAAAAAAAAAAAGCTTAATATTTATTTGTTTACTTTATTAAACATTTCTTTCAATGTAAGTTGTTTAAGTTGCTTCGTTTTATGTGATAATACTTTCTCTTTAATTCTATAAACAGACATAATTTCTTGTTCAGTTACAAAGTTCCGCTGTTCAAGTCCTATAATTGCTGTGTTGAGAATACCGACTAATTTGTCAATCGAAATTTTTCGTTTTCAATAACCTCTGGTGTCACTTTCTTCACTATCGGAAGCGAATTATAATGACGAGGAATTTGATTTAAATCATATCAAAGACAGAGTACATCGAGATGAAATACTACATTTAGTAAGGAATTATAAGCCAAATAAAATAAAAACATCTGCCCTGAAGATAAGGATAGTGCTGACAGATCAACTTCCAATTCATTGCGCGCCGTGGTGTTTCCCCCCTCGGCGCAGAGCAGCGTGAAATTGATAAACAAATTTCAGAATGGTTAGATAAACAAAGGATATGCCTTTATCCATTTTTTGCAGCAATTCCACTTTTTGTTTAATGGACTTCGAAAAATACTTTCGCTTTGTAGATCCTTTACATATTAGTAAATATATATCGGAAATTCTATTTGACATAATCGAAAGTTCAAGCTTACTTTTATAAAATTGCTCTAACAGTCTGCAAAAAATAATAAGCCGGATCCAATTCGAAGATTAAGGAACAACACAATCTGCAACATTAACTGAATTAGATAATTTTAGCTTAGCTTGTACCGCCCGCTATACATTAAACGCGCATGCGTAAACGTATTATGCACATGGGCATATTCGCAGCCGTAAAGGCCTGACGCGCATGTTTCAACACGACGCATGCGCAGAATGTTTGTAGCTTTGAGGTCCGGATTATGGGTGTCCGAATTAACGACTTTTGACTGTAATATATATAATTAACTAGACTGTTACAAATACCTGACCAAACAAGAGATCTACATCACAGCATTTTGCAAAAAAGATTTAGTTTTTGTTTACATTTTAGAAACCTCAAGTTTTACTCCTCACTGAGTGGGGGGAGGGCGAGGAGGAAGAGGCAAAGTGTTAATTTTCCAAAGATTGAAAGAGAAAAATTCATTTCATATGTTGTAACTATTGGTTACTAGAATACAAACACTCTACATATTGATTACTACAATATAAAACTCTACACACATGGCTTCTGTATTTTTACATGCACTTACATCTGACACCATCCTCAAAAGCCATCTTCAAAAGGTTAAATATCTTCCTGAAAGGAATTTGTTTTGTATAAGCCTAAAATTTAAATACATTAATTCTTCATTTACTTTTTAATTATACATGCAAATTCTCTTTTTGTGACAAATTACACGATATGCAATTCTGATTATTTATACTTCTGCGAAAAAAATCAAGCATATACCAAGCTATTTAACAGGTAAACTTTTTATCTTTCTTGCAGAACACTTTATGAATGCTACAGTCAAGACAATATATATTTTTAACAGTAAAATAATGTGCATCAAATACAAAATAAAATTTTGAAGACATAGAAATTCACTAATATTCAATTAAAGACATAAAAAAGATATTGCAAACAATATTTCCTCAGAATTAAACTAAGAGCAAATAACAATAAAACTCTCTCAGGACAACCATCACAGAAACTGACCAGTGTTCCTCACAGCATAAAGGAAAAGTATTATACATCACAGAGTTTTGCAGTTTACAGTATCACTTTCTTAGTAGACCCAAATCATCTGGAACCTTGAATGGTCATCTTATTAAGGTCTCAGAGCATTACACTTGTTGCTTTAAAATGAATAATTTCATTAAGTTATAATGAAAAGTTTATATTTGAATTTTTACTCAATGTTTATTAATTAAGAGTTCCTTTCAAGTACATTTTTATCAACTCCGGCATTGGCATTACCTAAATTTGCAGCTCTGCTTAACACATCAAAACAATACATAAAGATATGCCAATTATGAAAACATTAGAACAGGTGAAAACATAAATCCCTCGACAAAAAAATTTTAAATCACGTAACCTCTACATTTAATGTTTCTATAAAATTCAAAACAAATAAGCGCACAAAGTAAATATTCCAACATTTCCTTACACAAAAGAAAATATTTTCACACATTGTAAATTACCTTTTATTAAAAAACTATAAGCATGACAAAAATTTAACTAATAAAAATTACGGCATGTGCCAAAAAAAAAAAGGCACCCATTCATGAGTTTCTGTATATGAAATATGCATACTTAATATTAACTAGCTGACTGGTTGTCAATGAATGGTATATTAAAATAATATTTCACAACTTAAAAGTTTCTAACGGGGAAAAATACATTACAGTAAACGTGGAATTATGTTCTGTACCTAAGAAAAGCATGTGCTTCCATACTTCTATTTTGATTACTCGAACAGACTACCGCAACTCTTAAATCATACGTCATTCTTTACAGTAGCTTAAGATTATATCGGGAAAAAAAAATCTTGAGTATTAAGAATTAGCACATATTCTAAGCGAGGTAAAAAAAAAAAAAAAACAAAATTTCAACTCTTCTCCCAGGATGTCAATTAACAAGTTACAGCAGTGTTGCCAAACTAAAATAACTAAAAACGACCAAATGGATAAAGAAATTGTATCCTGTAAAACACAGGCGTCTCAAGACCAGAAGAGGAAAATGCTTATCTTCACTGTCATTGGCTGTATACCACGTGACACTCCCGAAACGTTTTAGGCGCTATTTCTGGTTCTCCGCCAACTACGATTGTGTTTCTCGCCAATTGTTAGCGGTTTGTTGACCAATGCCTGCCTATTCGTTCAACATAAGCAAATTTAGGACCCTATTCATGACAAGGAGCGTAAATAACGATCTTCTCTTAACCTATAAGAAAAGACAAATTTATCTTAGTACCATCAGACCAATTATGACATATGCGGCGCCAGCCTGGGCTACCGCCACTGAAAAAGATATAGAGAAACTCCAGAAAGTGCAGAACAAGTTCCTTAGGATTAGCACAAATGCCCACTATTATGTCAGAAACGAAGTATTGCATAGAGACATGAAAATTGAACCACTAAATCAATTTATTCGCAAGATTAATGCAAGTTTCTTCAATGGTGCGGTAAATTGTCAACATCTTATGAACTTTAACTTGTTTCACTACGAGATACTTGCCGAAGATAGGTTTCTCAGACCTTATGCTGCTTACCTGATTAAGGAAAATCAAGACTTCCCACTTAATTAGTGTCTATTAAATAATGATCACGATAGTATTAACTTTCAGTGACACTAAACTCAAGCAGCAAACGTCTGAGCCTCAGCTTGGGTGGGTGACCACCCATGTGACTTAAACTGGTGATCTTCACCTAAAGGCAGTGGTATCAAACACCAATTTTGGGGGGGGGGCAGAAAGAAAGAGGAAGAGATTGAAGAAGTATCATTTACCAATTTACACAGGAAAAAAGGGGGAAAAAATAAAGAATGCCCCGCCTCCTAATAAGAAGTCACTCCTTCATTGATTTAGAGTGGGGTACCGGAGACGGAAGACGATTTTGCCTCATGAGCTTTGACTGGTGATCGTCACCTGCGGAGATTCATATTACAAGATAATTTAGGAGGGAAAAGATAAAGGATAAGAAAGATTTTGTAGAAAAAATTAAAAATTCCAACGGGGCAGGTATTTTGTAAAAGTGGGCTCAAGTAAAGGGAGGGGGAAAAGGCGTTGCAAGTCTTACTGTAAGAAAGCTACTAAATTGAAAAAGAGGAAAATTTACTAAATAAGGGAAAGCTGCGTAAAGAAGTTACTAAATTTAAGAAAGAAATTGTAGAAAAGCATTCTAAAAATTCCGACTGAGGTTGTTTTAATAAGTGGGCGTATATAGTGGGAGGGTATAAGACGTTATAAGACTTAACAGTAGAAAAGTTACCAAGTGTCGATACGCAGTTAGCGTTTTGTAGGTGACACAAGGTTTCCAAATATGATGTTTGACTGAGTACAAAACACCTGCACATAAATGAATGCTAACAACTGAAGAATAAGGGAAAACTATTGTTATAGCTAGCCGTAGTGTGAAATGAGAACAGTTTAATTGTCTAAATACAATGTACACATACAAAAATTATAAAATAAAAAATTAATTGTTACCGTGTCTTAATTAAAATGTTAAAATTCTCATAACAGCGTAGTGATCCGGAAGAATAAATACCATGCTCAGAAGAGAAAATAAAAAGGAAATAAAAATAGTGATGGAATAAATTAATAATTACAATTTGTAGTAGGAAATATGCACTTTTGTAATTTCATATTTAATTACGTAGCCTATTTATGTAAAGTGGTTGCTATTTAAAGTGAACAAATACAATCAGCAACTCTGGAAATTATAATTTGTAACTATGAAATGATTTAAAAGATAAATAAGAAACTGAGAGGAAGAATGAACCATAGAAGGTAATCTATTTAGATTTTTTCCCAATTCTTTTGAGAGTAGGGGTAAGTGTAATGACATATATTAAAAATTAGAGTGCATTGAGAGCGTAGCCCTTTAGGCTGGGCTGATGATACCCAGCTGAGAGATGGACGTCTGAACAAAATGCGCCATCTATCGACAGGAAGAATAACTAAAAGCTAGTTTAATAATATATTTGGAGGGAGGAGTATGCAAGGAGTAGAAGCTAGAGAGAAAATTTAGAATTACTCTCAGTAGTTTTTATGAGTATCAAACATCATTAATAGTTATTGTAGTAAATTACCACTAATATTTACAATTTATCACAATGACTTAAAAAACTCAATAATAACAATGATAATAATAATACAATTTAATAATGGTACTAGTAAGCGGATACGTCAGAGAAGGAAAATGATACATACCAAAACCATAACCAATATTATTTTTATTATCATTGTTTTTTCTTGTTCAGAAAGTGAGTAATCTATTTAAAGAAGACATTGGAGCGGGGGAAGAAAAAAAAGTACCGAGTTAGACATAACAAGGATAAGATCGACTTAATCGATATATTATTATCGATTAATAATAGTAACAATAATGAAAATAATAATAAAAGGGGGAGATATTATGAGAAAATTTTCTTACCTTGTTGTTGTCATATGAGGTGATTATAATTTCGAATAAAGTAATTCTAGCAGCAATCACCTGATGAATATGGCGTCTATAACTGAAGAACTCTAAAGAAGTGAATCCTGAAATAAACTTAAAAAGAAAAAAATACCTCTCCTGCCCCACAAGAAATTCCTCACTTCTAGTGTGAGGCATTTAGAGGGGCCTGTAAGGGGAGCCGATGAATGATGCGTTACTGATAAGCAGGTCCCGTTGCTTGGGTGTGGCATATGAAGAAATCCACACAAATAAAAGGATAAAATGATCTAAAAAAGCCGAAAAACGAAAAAAAATTCTACAAATACTAGTCAGGGTGGGATAACAACCACTAACTTAGTAGAGCAATTAATTTGGTTTGAAAGAAATACAACTTACTCGCCCTTGGTTTCGATATCTCATCTATGAAATCCACTGTTGTAAGGTAGAACAGCCAACAATCATCGGGGTAAAAACTTCCGCGCAAAAGACAATCCTGAAAAGGAAAAAGAGTATATTTACTCCAGATATATGAATTTATTGCGAAAATTTACGTTTCTTCCGGAGCGCTAGAAAAGTGCGACCGCCAGTGTCGGTGATCGCAGCGCCCTCAACTCAAGATGTACACAGACAAACAGATATACAAAGTAAGGCTACTATAAAGCACCCGCTAAGTCTTCTGCACCGATGGGCCAAAAATCAAGCATAGGTGCGAAGGAAAGGTATATAGAAAGAGGGGCAATTTCGTACTTGAGGAGAGTAAAAAGGAACTTCGTACATTTTGTACGAGTTCAAAAGGACAGGAAGAAAAGATGGGACAAAATAAAATTTAAAATAAATGGCCCAAAAATAATAGAGGGGAAAAAGGGCCTATAGAAAGAAAAGGAACAGAAGTCGAAAATATCCTAAAATACGATTGTGTCCATGAGTGTAGTTAAAAGGAGAAGAATCTGTCTTCATTTACAATAAATAGTGTCTCTGTTAGCATAAATTTAGGTATTTTGCATAATGAAACTCGAAAGGCATACGAAACGAACGTGCGCCAAGGTATATATTGGCGAGAGAAAGTAAAGCTCGTGTGCAATGCAGTATATTTGATTTTCACCTTAGCTACTTGTATCTGACCAAAGGTCTAATCCAGTAGTACTTTCTTCTCTTTCAGGTACGATGGCAAAGTATGTTCCTGTTTATTTTTCTTATTGCATAATATAGGTAAGCCTGATGATATTTAGGACTGATGATGATTCTCTGTAAGTTATTCTTTTCAATACTTCAGTGTTTTAATGTCCGTGAACATTATTACTTTTTGTTATGCTTAAGTTAAGCAAAATTATCCTATTAAATAAAGATTTCGTAGTTAATCTTTTTGACTTATGATTCTTTAATTCTGTGCTTGAGGAAACGTACTCATTACGCCTTCAGTGCTAATGCACAACCAACAAAAAGATTATGAGACCTGAGAAATTGAAATTTTGTAATGTTGTAAGATTCCAGGGGCATAAAGTGTTAAAACTCTTTGTTGAAAAAAAAAAAACTAGTTACAAAGTTTAAAAGAATAATTGTAACAAATAATGATGTCTATTCTAAAAGAATCAATTTGTATAGAAAAGTTAACAGATGAAAATTATTCAGTGTGGAAATTTAAAATAAAACAACTTCTAATAAAAGAAGGTTTAGATGATGTTGTATTCGAAGAAAAACCGGAAACTGATACTGATATTTGGTTAAAGAATGATCGTAAAGCTAAAGCTTTAATATGTCTAAACATTTCGGATTCGCAAATTATCCATGTTTTACATAGTAAATCTGCAAAAGAAGTTTGGCAGAAGTTAAAATGTGTCCATGAACGTGTAAATTTAACAAATAAGTTATTTCTTCTTAGAAAACTATATTCCATTAGATATAATGAAAGTTCTAAAATGCAGGAACATATCAAAGGAGTACTAGAATTGGCTGAAAAGCTGCGTAGTATAGGTGAAGAAATTAAAGAAAATAACTTAATAGCAATATTACTATGTTCTTTACCAAATTCATACAACTCCTTAATAACTGCAATAGAAAGTAAATCGGAAGCTGAATTGTCGCTAGAATATGTTAAAAACAAACTAATAGATGAGTATTGTAGACGTGTGGAAACTAAGAAAGTTCAAAAGTACGATTCAGTTGCTTTAAAAAGTAAAAGCGAAAATAAACCAAAGTATGTTACACAATTTTGTACTTATTGTAAGAGAAATAACCATACGATAAATGACTGTTTTCATTTAAAACGCAACGCTAGAACTTCCCCGAAAACAGATGTAAATAATAGTAAAGTAAGAAAATTATTCTCAAAATTATAAAAGTAATGCATGCCAAATAGCAAATACGCAAAGTGTAGAAAACATAACAAAACTTAAAGAAAATAAGTATCTTAAAAGTATTGAAACTGAAAATTCGCAGATTCAGTTTAATCAAGTTCTAAAAGTGGAAAATAAACATGAAAACACGCAAAC